AAGTCAATCTCTCCTCCACTTTGAGCCATGAGAGATTTACATGCATATTATTAATGTTAGCTCTCTAAGCAATAACAGTGTAAACACAAGACATAAAAATAAGAAATAAGAAGAACATGATAAAGTAAGTAAGCATGTATACAGGGTCAGTTCCAGTACCATATTTAAAATGTGCAGGGATACTGGATCGATAGAGGTAGATATGTATAGGGGTAAGGTGACTAGGCATCAGGATATATGATAAACAGAGTAGCAGCAGGGTATATGATGAGTGTACAGTATGTGAGTGGGTGGGTGTAGAGTAAGTATACAGTGAGGGAAAAAAGTATTTGATCCCCTGCTGATTTTGTACGTTTGCCCACTGACAAAGACATGATCAGTCTATAATTTTAATGGTAGGTTTATTTGAACAGTGAGAGACAGAATAACAACAACAAAAATCCAGAAAAACGCATGTAAAAATTTTTATAAATTGATTTGCATTTTAATGAGGGAAATAAGTATTTGACCCCCTCTCAATCAGAAAGATTTCTGGCTCCCAGGTGTCTTTCATACAGGTAACAAGCTGAGATTAGGAGCACACTCTTAAAGGGAGTGCTCCTAATCTCAGCTTGTTACCTGTATAAAAGACACCTGTCCACAGAAGCAATCAATCAATCAGATTCCAAACTCTCCACCATGGCCAAGACCAAAGAGCTCTCCAAGGATGTCAGGGACAAGATTGTAGACCTACACAAGGCTGGAATGGGCTACAAGACCATCGCCAAGCAGCTTGGTGAGAAGATGACAACAGTTGGTGCGATTATTCGCAAATGGAAGAAACACAAAATAACTGTCAATCTCCCTCGGCCTGGGGCTCCATGCAAGATCTCACCTCGTGGAGTTGCAATAATCATGAGAACGGTGAGGAATCTGCCCAGAACTACACGGGAGGATCTTGTCAATGATCTCAAGGCAGCTGGGACCATAGTCACCAAGAAAACAATTGGTAACACACTACGCCATGAAGGACTGAAATTCTGCAGCGCCCGCAAGGTCCCCCTGCTCAAGAAAGCACATATACAGGCCCGTCTGAAGTTTACCAATGAACATCTGAATGATTCAGAGGAGAACTGGGTGAAAGTGTTGTGGTCAGATGAGACCAAAATCGAGCTCTTTGGCATCAACTCAACTCGCCCTGTTTGGAGGAGGAGGAATGCTGCCTATGACCCCAAGAACACCATCCCCACCGTCAAACATGGAGGTGGAAACATTATGCTTTGGGGGTGTTTTTCTGCTAAGGGGACAGGACAACTTCACCACATCAAAGGGACGATGGACGGGGCCATCCTTCCCTCAGCCAGGGCATTGAAAATGGGTTGTGGATGGGTATTCCAGCATGACAATGACCCAAAACACACGGCCAAGGCAACAAAGGAGTGGCTCAAGAAGAAGCACATTAAGGTCCTGGAGTGGCCTAGCCAGTCATAGAAAATCTGTGGAAGGAGCTGAAGGTTCGAGTTGCCAAACGTCAGCCTCGAAACCTTAATGACTTGGAGAAGATCTGCAAAGAGGAGTGGGACAAAATCCCTCCTGAGATGTGTGCAAACCTGGTGGCCAACTACAAGAAACATCTGACCTCTGTGATTGCCAACAAGGGTTTTGCCACCAAGTACTAAGTCATGTTTTGCAGAGGGGTCAAATACTTATTTCCCTCATTAAAATGCAAATCAATTTATAACATTTTTGACATGCGTTTTTCTGGATTTTTTTGTTGTTATTCTGTCTCTCACTGTTCAAATAAACCTACCATTAAAATTATAGACTGATAATTTTTTTGTCAGTGGGCAAACGTACAAAATCAGCAGGGGATCAAATACTTTTTTCCCTCACTGTATATGTATGTTTATGAGCATATGTGTGTGAGCAAATGATGGAGTGAGTTTGTAGATGTGTTGGAGTATCAGTGTGCGTAGTGTGTAGGACCCTGTGCGTGTGCATAGAGACAGTCTTAAAATAAGAATAAAAGCAAAGGTCATCTCAGATAGTCTGTGTAGCCATTTTGTTATGTATTTAGTTAGCTATTTAGCAGTCTTATTGCATGGAGATAGAAGCTGTTCAGGAGCCTGTTGGTGTCAGACTTAATGCACCAGTACCTCTTGCCGTGTGGAAGCAGAGAGAACAGTCTATGGCTTGAGTGGTTGGAGTCTAACAATTTTTCAGGCCTTCCTTTCACAACGCATGATATAGAGTTCCTGGATGGCCCCAGTGATGTACTGAAGTTTCCTGGATGTCCCCAGTGATGTACTGGGCTGTCCGCACCACACACTGTAGCGCCATGCGATCAAGGGCAATCCTATTGCCATACCAAGCAGTGATGCAGCCAGTCAAGATGCTCTCAATGGTACAGCTGTAGAACTTTTTGAGGATTTGAGGGCCCATGCCAAACCTTTTCAACTCGCCCACAAGGATCCAGTTGCAGAGGCAGGTGCTTAGTCCCAGGGTTGTAAGCTTGGTGATGAGCTTGGAGGGGACAATGGTGTTGAATGCTGAGCTGTAGTCAATGAACAGCATTCTCACATAGGTATTCCTCTTATCTAGGTAGGTGAGGGCAGGGAGGAGTGCAATTGAGATTGCGTCGTCTATGGATCTTTTGGGGCGGTATGTGAATTGGAGACGGTCTAGGGTGGCTGTGATGATGGAGTTGATGTGTGCCATAACCAGCCTCTCAAAGCACTTCATGATTACAGATGTGAGTGCTACAGGGCGGTAGTCATTGTGGCATGAAGCCTTAGAGTTCTTGGGAACAGGAACGATGGTGGTCATCTTAAAACATGTTGGGATTACAGACTGGGACAAGGAGAGGTTGAAAATTATTGTGAATATACCTGCCAGTTGTTCTGCGCATGCTCTGAAAAAGCACCCTATAATAACATAAGGCCCCGTGGCCTTGTGGGTATTGACCTGATTAAAGACTTTACTCACTTCGGCCTCTGAGAGCAAGATCACCCAATCTTCTGTGTCAGTGGCGGCCCTCAAACCCGGCACAATGTTGTTGTTGTCAAAGCGTGTATAAAATGCATTGAGTTTGTCTGGTAGAGTGGCATCGTTGGGCAGATCATGGCTGGGTCTTCCTTTGTAAACCGTAATGGACTGTAGCCCCTGCCACATGCAACGGGCGTCGGAGCCTGTGTAATATGATTCCACCTTATTCCTATATTGTTATTTTGCTCATTTGATGACTCTGCGGAGGTCATTGTGGGACTTCTTGTACTTGTTCCTGTCCTCGGCCGTAGCCTCAGGGTTGTCTGCGATAGCAATGTGTGCGGTAGCCCTGTCCTTTAGTTTAGCGCAAACCTCAGTGTTAATCCAGGGCTTTTGATTGGGGAAGCAGCGAATCTGTGGGAACAAAGTCGTCGATGCATTTCCTAATGAAGCCAGTGATGGAGGTGGTTAGCTCGTCGATGTTATTGGCGGAGTCCCGAAACATATTCCAATCAGCTCTAGCAAAGCAGTCCTGTAGCATAATCTCTGATTCTGGAGCATTTCTCAACGGAGCGACTCACGAGTAATTCCTGTTTGAGCTTCTGCTTTTAAACAGGAAGCAGGAGTATGGAGTCATGATCTGATTTGCTGAATTGAGGACGAGAGAGGGCCTCATATGCTTGCTTGTGGGTAGAATAACAGTGGTCTAGGACTTTATCACCCCTAGTGGCGAGGGAGACGTGTTGATGGAAGTGTCTTAATGATGCAGAATTAAAATCGCTGGCAACCAGAAATGCAGCCTCTGGAGGTAAGTTTTCCTGCTTGGTTATAGCCTCAGACAGTTCGTTAAGTGCCAGCTTGTTATTTTCCTTATCCTGAGGTGGAATGTATTCAACAGTCACGATAACAGCTGAAAACTCCCTCGGGAGGTAAAAGGGTTGGCATTTGACCATCAGGTATTCCAAGACGGGTGAACAATGGGTCAGCACTTTCACCGTGCTCGAGTCAGCACAGCAGTTGTTCTTGATGAAGAGGGAAATCCCCCTCCTCGATTTCCCCGACTCCACTGTCCTGTCGCCATGGTGAATGGAGAATCCATCGAGTTGGATAGCCATGGGGGGTATCCTGTCTGAGAGCCATGTTTCAGAAAAACAGAGAATATTGCAGTTTCGAGAGTACTGTTGGTAGCAAATCCGCGATCGGAGGTCCTCCATCTTATTATCAAGTGACTGTACATTGGCCAGTAGAATGGAGGGAAGAGGTGGCCGGCTCTCCCTTCGCCCTAATCTCGCCAGGGTCCCCCTTCCAGTTTGCGCCCTCCGCCTCTACGGCTCCTGTCTCACCCGATTTGCCTTCAAGACAAGTGACATCAATATTGACGTCACCTACCCCTCCACTGTAAGTCTTGTCTGTTTCCTAACAACCCACTAATGCAAGTTATATACACACAGTGGCCAGTTTATTAGGTACACCACCCCGTTCACGTAAATGGTTAGCTCCTACAGACAGTGAGTCACGTGGCCATGGCTTGCTATATAAAGCAGGCAGACTGGCATCCAGTTACTGTTCGATTGAACGTTAGTGGGCAAAACAAGCGACCTAAGCGACCTTTGAATGTGATATGATCGTCAGTGTCAGGTGCGCCGGTTCCAGTATCTCAGAAATGTCCGACCTCCTGGGCTTTTCACGCATGGCAGTGTCTAGGGTTTACTGAGAATGGTGCGACAAACAAACAACTGGAAAAGAAACACCAACAAAAGCCATTCATTAAACAGGGTTCTATTCATTCCATTCATTAAACAGGATTCTATTCATACCATTCATTAAACAGGATTTCATTCACACCATTCATTAAACAGGGTTCTATTCATACCATTAATTAAACAGGGTTCTATTCATTCCATTCATTAAACAGGGTTCTATTCATACCATTCATTAAACAGGGTTCGAGGGGGGGCGTTCATGCACTGCAGGAATGCCCACATGCAGGAACGCCCCGAATTGCAGGCTGCAGTTGCACACTACTGTCTCGCTTCGCCTCTTCCGTGGTGTATGTTGATTTACAAACAGGAAGCGCTTGCCGGAAGTTGCTCCCGTATTCGTGACGTGTTCTTGTAAGTAGTATTTGCAGTTGCTGCTGACTGATCAAATTCCACACTCAAATGCGGCGAGGGTTTGCTGATAAATTATAGCCACAATCAGTACAATAGGAAAGGGATCTTGATACGACCTACAAAAATGACAACCATGTTCGCAGACACTATTCTTATTGTGTTCATCTCTGTTTGCACAGCTCTGTTAGCTGAGGGTAAGTAACTACAGTAGCTAGCTAACTTGTTAACGTTAATTTTAGCTAAGCTATTTGGCTGACTTTAGCTAGCTACCTGATACGGGCTTTCTAATTTTGGCTAGCTAACTTCAAACATATTCGTTTTGTATTTTGTTTGGTAAACGCTGAGTGCTGTAGATGTTTTGTCATTTGGAAACCTATTTAATCCGGGGCATGGGTAGCATGTCGCCTCTTAGCTTTGGGACACAACATCGCGAGTCTCCCAATGTGTGTCCCAAAGCCCGATGAGTTGTGGCCCAAAGCTAGTCCCCTGTCAAAACGATAGGAACTAGCTAGTAAGGTAGCTAGCATTGCCCAGAGAATACCCTTGCCCAGAGCCATGTATTTAGAAATACAATATTGGCTTGGCTTTAGATCTGTCCTACAGCCATCAGAGCTAGGCATTGTGAGCTCTCGGCCAGGTCACTGGGTATCTGTTAACGACTTTGTGACAACGGCTGATGTAAAAAGGACTAAATAAATGTGATTGATGGTCACCATTGGTGCACTATTGATAATAACCGCATACTTGTTCTTTGTAGTTAGTGACAGTAGCCTATGTTTCATCAGGAGATGATTGGGGCATCATTAAATACACATGCATTATTTTCTATTGATATGTTGATGTATGAATGCTCTATATGTCATATTTGCCTAACCTTTAAACATCTCCATCCTAAGGAATTACATGGGTGCTGGTGTATCGTACTGCGAAGTACAAGAGTCTGAAGGCAGAGGTGGAAAAGCAAAGCAAGAAATGTGAGTGTCTTTAAATACATTTTCATTGCTTTTCACTTTTTACACATAGATGACATTGTTCAATTCTTGGATAGCATTGTTGTTGCTAAGGGTGACAGCTCTGTAGTGAAAAATATATATTTTTTTCTATTTTAATATTTCAGTGGAAAAGAAGAAGGAAACCATTACAGAATCTGCAGGACGTCAACAGAAGAAAAAGATTGGTAAGAAAGAACAGAGTCATATGTTTATACAGTTGAAGTCAGAAGTTTACATACACTTAGGTTGGAGTCATTAAAACTTGTTTTTCAACCACTCCACAAATTTCTTGTTAACAAACTATAGTTTTGGCAAGTCGGTTAGGACATCTACTTTGTGCATGACACAAGTAATTTTTCCAACAATTGTTTACAGACCGATTATTTCACTTATAATTCACTGTATCACAATCCCAGTGGGTCTGAAGTTTACATACACTAAATTGACTGTGCCTTTAAACAGCTTGGAAAATTCCAGAAAATGATGTCATGGCTTTAGAAGCTTCTGATAGGCTAATTGACATAATTTGAGTCAATTGTAGGTGTACCTGTGGATGTATTTCAAGGCCTACCTTCAAACTCAGTGCCGCTTTGCTTGACATCATGGGAAAATCTAAAGAAATCAGCCAAGACCTCAGAAAAAAAATTGTAGACCTCCACAAGTCTGGTTCATCCTTGGGAGCAATTTCCAAACGCCTGAAGGTACCACGTTCATCTGTACAAACAATAGTACGCCAGTATAAACACCATGGGACCACGCAGCCGTCATACCGCTCAGGAAGGAGACGCGTTCTATAATATAATAATATAATAATAATATGCCATTTAGCAGACGCTTTTATCCAAAGCGACTTACAGTCATGTGTGCATTCATTTTTACGTATGGGTGGTCCCGGGGATCGAACCCACTACCCTGGCGTTACAAGTGCCATGCTCTACCAATTGCGCTACAGAGGACCATGTCATGGCTTTAGAAGCTTCTGATAGGCTAATTGACATAATTTGAGTCAATTGGATGTGTACCTGTGGATGTATTTTAAGGCCTACCTTCAAACTCAGTGCCTCTTTGCTTGACATCATGGGAAAATCTAAAGAAATCAGCCAAGACCTCAGGTTCATCCTTGGGAGCAATTTCCAAACACCTGAAGAGGTTCCATGTTCATCTGTACAAACAATAGTACTCAAGTATAAACACCATGGGACCACGCAGCCGTCATACTGCTCAGGAAGGAGACGCGTTCTGTCTCCTAAAGATTAACGTACTTTGGTGCGAAAAGTGTAAATCAATCCCAGAACAACAGCAAAGGACCTTGTGAAGATGCTGGAGGAAACAGGTACAAAAGTATCTATATCCACAGTAAAACGAGTCCTATATCGACATAACATGAAAGGCCGCTCAGCAAGGAAGAAGCCACTGCTCCAAAACCGCCACAAAAAAGCCAGATTGGTTTGCAACTGCACATGGGGAGATTGTACTTTTTGGAGAAATGTCCTCTGGTCTGATGAAACAAAAATAGAACTGTTTGGCCATAATGACCATCGTTATGTTTGGAGGAAAAAGGGGGTGCTTGCAAGCCGAAGTAAAAATTATAAAGTGGTTATCCCACTGGCTATAAGGTGAATGCACCTATTTGTAAGTCGCTCTGGATAAGAGCGTCTGCTAAATGACGTAAATGTAAATGAAGAACACCATCCCAACCGTGAAGGACGGGGGTGGCAGCATCATGCTGTGGGGGTGCTTTGCTGCAGGAGGGACTGGTGCACTTCACAAAATAGATGGCATCATGAGGAAGGAAAATTATGTGGATATATTGAAGCAACATCTCAAGACATCAGCCAGGAAATTAAAGCTTGGTTGCAAATGGGCCTTCCAAATGGACAATGACCCCAATCATACTTCCAAAGTTGTGGCAAAATGGCTTAAGGACAACAAAGTCAAGGTATTGGAGTGGCCATCACAAAGCCCTGACCTCAATCCTATAGAAAATGTGTGGGTAGAACTGAAAAAGTGTGTGCGAGCAAGGAGGCCTACAAACCTGACTCAGTTACACCAGCTCTGTCAGGAGGAATGGGCCAAGATTCACCCAACTTATTGTGGGAAGCTTGTGGAAGGCTACCTGAAACGTTTGACCCAAGTTAAACAATTTAAAGGCAATGCTACCAAATACTAATTGAGTGTATGTAAACTTCTGACCCACTGGGAATGTGATGAAAGAAATAATAGCTGAAATAAATAATTCTCTCTACTATTATTCTGACATTTCACATTCTTCAAATAAAGTGGTGATCCTAACTGACCTAAGACAGGGAATTTTTACTAGTATTAAATGTCAGGAATTGTGAAAAACAGAGTTTAATTGTATTTGGCTAAGGTGTATGTAAACTTCCGACTTCAACTGTATATTTGGACCAAAGCTTTCCTGGACCATAGCTATCGTCTCATCATAACTTTGTCAAGACTATTACGATTATAGATATGACGGTTGGTGTATATAAAATAATGTGTGGTCCCCATACACAATATTCTAATTTTAACTTCACAGAGAGACAAGAGGAGAAACTGAAGAACAACAACAGAGATCTATCCATGGTGAGAGAAACGTGTTTTGTTGTCATACAAATTAAGCAAACTAAAGCCCTGTGTATTCCTTCCTCATTTCCTATCTAGCTTCATCGATGAAGGGGTGACCACATTTAATCTGACTGTCCTCCATCTTGCGTTACAGGTACGAATGAAGTCCATGTTCGCCATTGGCTTCTGTTTCACAGCGTTGATGGGAATGTTCAACTCCATGTGAGTGTACAGACAATGACAAATGCTATCTGTTAGATCTAGTGGCACAGGTGGCTACTCTGTTATGATGACAAACAACTCACTGTGTTCTTTGTGTGAGTTCTTTGTTAAGCAATGGCTCAGCTCAAAGTTAGTCATTCAATGCACCTCCTTACCCACTGTTTGTTAATATCATTGTTTGTTTGTTTTAGCTTTGATGGAAGGGTGGTGGCCAAACTGCCATTCGTCCCACTGTCCTACATTCAGGGCCTTTCCCATCGCAACCTTCTGGGCGAGGACTTCACTGACTGCTCCTTCATCTTCCTGTACATTCTCTGCACCATGTCCATCAGACAGGTAACTCAACTGACACTATCTTACCACCTGTCATGGGTTGCAGTGTATCGACAAGAGTAGCAAATACTGGGCTAACAAAAAGAGCAAGGCAGTTAACTTATGGATTTTAAGTTGAAGGTTTCCACAGACCCAATCTCTTAAAATATGATTCCACATTCAACAGCTTACGGTTCACAACTTACCAGAACTGGGACTTCTCATACATATCCTTGGTTTCTGTCTAAATGCTATTTAAATATGGTTTCCATCCATCCACAGAACATCCAGAAGATGCTGGGTCTGGCCCCCTCCAGAGCTGCCACCAAGCAGGCTGGAGGTTTCTTGGGACCCCCTCCCCAGGCAGCTAAGTTCTCCTAAGCACCAAGCACACGGGTGGCGTTCCAGGCTGACTACATTACAGTCCAATGGTTGTGTGCCGTGTCATCGAGTGCGCAGCCGAGCATCAGATGCTGTATCATATAATGTGGTTTTTGCAATGTAGTCTGCCTAGAACGTGGCCAGTGTCTTCAGTCCTATTTCTACACTGTGACTGTCTGGCCACAGAGAGAAGTTAGGGGACAGCCCCCTCATCTGTTCAGAGAATGACATTGCTGTCACAAAGATGGATGGGACGACTCTTTGGATGCATTGAATACCATCAGCAGCTACTGTATCATTAATTCATTACCTGTACCCACTATTTCATTGAAATTTGTAGTATACCTGGTTTGACCCTTTTTTCCTGTTTTTGTTGCTTTTTAGATCAATTAGTTTGACATAAAAGTAGCTATGATTGTCAGTATAAATGATTTACAAAATGTTACAAAAGTGTGAAGAATATCCTGTGTTTATATTCAGATAAACATTGTGATAAGATGCTAAACAAAGATCGTATGAGATTGGAATAAATTAAGCAGAACTGGGAGTGGATTGGCTGTTTGGTTCATCAGTACATTATGTGATTACCTGGCTGTGTAGTATTTCATTTCTTACTAATTGAATAAATGTTTTATCACATTTTAGCCTGTTTGATGCTGTTTTCTTTTCTTTCTTTGCAATTCTGTGATATATGGCTGCTACCACAGGATACCATAAGGAAGAAGGTTAATGATAAGTAAAATAAGTATTCATGACTTTGGTGGTTCCTATCTCATGAAGAGCCCAATGAAGAGAAAGCTGTAAGTGGGTTAATGATGAGTCAGCAGAAAATTGTGTTACTCAATAGTCTACTATGTTGGAGCTGGGCTGGGGCCAACAACACAGATCAAGAGGACTGCCAAATTAATTGGCTGGGTCATTCCGATGATATGGTGCCTTTTTTTGTCTCCAGGAATGATCAGTTTTTATTTAGTGTAAAATATGGATTCCAAAAGTCTTTAAATATAAGGTCAGGTGTCCTTTACCTTAAAAAACGCAAATGATGGATCCTGAAAGGGAATTTTATTCAAGACTTTTTGTCAGTGGATGTAGGCGGTTTAGCCATGTACGCAAGTGCTATTTATCAACTTCCACAAGAAATATAAGCCATAAAATGTTTTAAAATGTTCTTATTTTATAGTCCTGGTTAAAGTCTCTTTCATCAATAATGTTTTTTCCATGATTATTGTATTCATTATTTTATTTAAGATTTTCTGTGTGTCCCTGATACCACTTTCCACTCTGTTGTATTGTCCATTTCAGAAGGTGGTCCTCTGTAGCTCTGCTGGAAGAGCACGGCGCTTGTAACGCCAAGGTAGTGGGTTCGATCCCTGGGACACATACACAAAATAAAAAAATGTATGCACGCATGACTGTAAGTCGCTTTGGATAAAAGCGTCTGCTAAATGGCATATTATATTATTATATTAAGAAAACAACCCCTTCCTGCAATGACCCCGCATTCAGGAAGTGTCAAAAAGAAATAGGTGGAAAATCTATGGTGCAAAGCTACATAAATATAAACACTCAGTTATATCTATTTGTCCATGTTTCATGTTCTTAGTCTGTATGTCCCACTCATAAATGTCCACCCTGTTAGGCTAAATTATAGAGAAAATGCAAAATGTTAAAATATGTTTGATAGAGCAGTTAAAATCCAGTTCAAGTGTTCACCATTATGCTAGCTCAATCTTGCTCACTCACAGAGCTATGGTTTATTTAGGTTCAAAATGTCCACCCTGTTAGGATTACGCCCCCAAACAGTTTAAGTGCCTGAGTTTGACCAATATGTTTTTCTGAAAGTCAAACATGTCCTTTTTCTGATTTATATATTTATTATTTTTTTCTTCCAAAGATGTTGAAGTCCAAATGGCACCACATCATCGGAATGACCCGGCTGTTGACAGTTGCGTCCTCATGACCTAAACTGCTAAAAAAAAAATGTAAACTGTAATGTAAGGGGCCAACTCAATTGCCCAGGTTTTAGCATAAACGTCGAAACACTTATTTCAAATGCTGAAGGATCCGGATGATACAGTTCATGTAAATGTTAAAGGCAAACTATCAGACACCCTGAAACTAATCCCACCCATATTGTGCAATTGCTGAAAATTTGACCTGCGGTCATACAGTATTTCCACACAGTCACTGTTTACGAGGGGCGAAGTGCGTCTGATCAATAAAACGTCAAATCCAAATCAGGGCGAAAGCTTCGATTTACTGAACAGACGACGGTAGGAACAGTCAAATTATTAAAGCAGTGTAATTTTGAGTAAATATGCAGAATGATTCGGTTTAGCTCGCTTCTAGGCTAGGCCTGTAGCATGCGTTTTTGCTGCATTGTGTAGGGATGTGTTTATAGTGTTGCTGGCTGTCTGGAGGACGTTTTCTTCTGCAAATATGCATGCATGCTAACTAAATTAGTAAAAGTACATGCACGTAGATACATATTTAGCTAGCTAAATATTATGCCAATGCGCTATGGTTTGCCTGAAACTGCCGAAACGCTTGCATATTAAAACTGTTGCAGTCTGATCACTCCTATTTTATTTGGGTCCTACAGGTGATTCACACGCAGTTGGACACAATCGAACATGGCCCAGCTTCTAGAGTCTATGCCCGGTGCCTCCACGGGACAGGTCGTGGTGACAGACCACCTAAATTTCTGGGGCGGGTGCAGAGTTAAACCCAAGGATGGGAAAAACGCGGAGCCCGTCCACGAACCTGCAACTGGTTTGTAGCATACTACATACATTATACCGTTTACTAAATCAAATCAAATGTTATTCGTCACATGCTTCGTAAACAACAGGTGTGGACTAACAGTGAAGTGCTTTTACTAGTAGGCTTTCTGATGTAATAGAGCTGTAGGCCTATATCTCAGATGTATTGAATGTTTTTCAATACATTACTGTGTTAGTGTTGTAGTAAACAGGTATCTCAGTGCACAGTTGACCAGACATATATGTCCTAGTTGACCAGTGTCTGGAATGTAAGGGTCAAGGTTCACTGACCTTGTATGTTGTTTAGTTTCCATTGGAGTATTATTACCTCACTCTTTGGGGTCGGCAAGAGTTCACTGACCAATTTACAATATGCCCCCCAAGAATCCCATGGATTCTGTTTGCCAGTTAGATGTTTATGGTCATGAAGTGTTTATTTGTATTTTTCCTCTGGTGTCTGCAGGTCGGAAGCTATGTGACATGTTTCCGTGTGGGAAAGAGGAGGTGGACCAGGCCATCCAGAGTGCGCATGCTGCCTACCTAAAGTGGAGTAAGATGACAGGCATGGAGAGGGCCCGAGTCATGCTGGAGGCTGCTCGCATCATCAGGGTGAGACATTTTCATGAGACATGTCATGTGAGCAGAATGCTGCATAATGCTTGCATAACATTGCTGTTAGAATTAGATTATAAGCTACTGAACAGAGAAATTATATTTCTCTTTAAATAATTTCAAGGACATTTCCTGAATGCATTACATTCCATACCTCTTTACAGTGTACAGCAGTGGTGTGAAGTCACATTTAATGAATCTGAGGCCCTTTGTGTCGAGTTGTGTTAACTCAGTACCAAGGAGCCTTTGCAAGTGATTGCAGGACATAAATTGCTGATTTGAACAACCTTGTTGTGACACATCATCCCAAATATTAGTGGGGAACTGAAGTTCCTTTAAAGGTTTCCGGGAACAGTGCCAGGAAAGTTTTGAAAATGTTACAAATCAAATCAAATTTGTCACATGCGCCGAATACAACACCTTACAGTGAAATGCTTACTTACAAGCCCTTAACCAACAAATCAGTTTTAAGAAAGAATACCCCCAAAAAATCACAAAAAAATACAATATAAAATAATACGAAATAAAAGTAACAAATAATTAAAGAGCAGCAGTAAAAATAACACTAGCGAGGCTATATGCAGGGGGTACCGTTACCGAGTCAATGTGCGGGGGCACCGGTTAGTCGAGGTAATTTAGGTAATATGTACATGTAGGTAGAGTTATTAAAGTGTGAATATGCATAGATAATAAACAGAGAGTAGCAGCAGCGTAAAGGGAGGGGGGGGGGGGGGGTGATTAGATGTTCAGGAGTCTTATGAACATGGTTGTGAATGTGCAATCCTAGTTATTTATTAACTGCACAGGCATAGTACACTGTAAAACCTTTGAAGAAACCCGTTGCACTTAATATATGAGTACAGTTACTTAAAGTGATTTTATAGTCATTACTCAAACTGATAGTCACGGTGACCCTGTATGGGGTCCAGATTTCAGTTGTCAGCTTGAAACAATTTTGTAATACCCCTACTAAGCCACACCTCCAATATAATTTCCCAAAGTTGTCACGTCCTGACTCTGGGGACTCGTATTTGTTGAGTCAGGGTGTGTATTTTCTGTGTGGTATGTTCAATGTTGTATTTTCTAGGTTTAGATCTAGATCTATGTTGGCCGGTGTGGTTCCCAATCAGAGGCAGCTGTCGCTCGTTGTCTCTGATTGGGGACCATACTTAGGTAGCCTATTGGCACTAGTGGGTTGAAAAAAAGATCAAAAAGATGAGAGAGGCCTGTAATTTTCATCATAGGTACATGTCAACTATGACAGACAAAATGAGAAAAACAAAATCCAGAAAATCACATTGTAGGAGTTGTTAATGAATTTATTTCCAAATTATGGTGGAAAATAAGTCCACCAATAAACTAAAATTTCTCAATACATTGTTATATACCCCTTTGGTTGGCAATGACAACAGGTCAAACGTTTCTGGTAAGTCTTCACAAGGTTTTCACACACTGTTGCTGGTATTTTGGCCCATTCCTCCATGCAGATCTCCTCCTAGAACAGTGGATGTTTTGGGGCTGTCACTGGGCAACACAGACTTTCAACTCCCTCCAAGATTTTCTATGGGGTTGAGATCTGGAGACTGGCTAGGCCACTCCAGGACCTTGAAATGCTTCTTACGAAGCCACTCCTTCGTTGCCCGGGCGGTGTGTTTGGGATCATTGTCATGCTGAAAGACCCAGCCACGTTTCATCTTCAATGCCCTTGCTGATGGAAGGAGGTTTCTACTCAAAATCTCACGATACATGGCCCCATTCATTCTTTCCTTTACACGGATCAGTCGTCCTGGTCCCTTTGCAGAAAAACAGCCCCAAAGCATGATGTTTCCACCCCCATGCTTCACAGTAGGTATGGTGTTCTTTGGATGCAACTCAGCATTCTTTGTCCTCCAAACACGACGAGTTGAGTTTTTACCAAAAAGTTCTATTTTGGTTTCATCTGACCATATGACAAACTCCCAATCCTCTTCTGGATCATCCAAATGCACTCTAGCAAACTTCAGACGGGCCTGGACATGTACTGGCTTAAGCAGGGGGGACACATCTGGCACTGCAGGATTTGAGTCCCTGGCGGCGTAGTGTGTTCTGATGGTAGGCTTTGTTACTTTGGTCCCAGCTTCTGCAGGTCATTCACTAAGGTCCCCCCGTGTGGTTCTGGATTTTTTGCTCACCGTTCTTGTGATCATTTGACCCCACGGGGTTGAGATCTTGCGGGAGCCCCAGATCGAGGGAGATTATCAGTGGTCTTGTATGTCTTCCATTTCCTTATAATTGCTCCACAGTGATTCTTCAAACCAAGCTGCTTACCTATTGCAGATTCAGTCTTCCCAGCCTGGTGCAGGTCTAACAATTTTGTTTCTGGTGTCCTTGACAGCTCTTTGGTCTTGGCCATAGTGGGAGTTTGGAGTGGAACTGTTTGAGGTTGTGGACAGGTGTCTTTTATACTGGATAACAAGTTCAAACAGGTGCCATTAATACAGTAACGAGTGTGAGGACAGAGGAGCCTCTTAAAGAAGAAGTTACGTCTGTGAGAGCCAGAAATCTTGCTTTTTGTAGTGACCAAATACTTATTTTCCACCATAGATTAACAAATAAATTCATACAAAAGCCTTCGATGTGATTTTCTGGATTTTTTTTCTCATCGATTGTCTGTCCTAGTTGACGTGTACCTATGATGAAAATTACAGCCTCTCTCATCTTTTTAAGTGGGAGAACCTTGCACAATTGGTGCTGACTAATACTCTTTTTCCCCACTGGTTATTTGATTAGAAAATCTTGGGGTTTACAGTGTGCACAATATCAAACTTTGTACATTTCATGACCACTGTCTGTGGCCTCATGTGAATAAGCACATTGAAACACTATTACATGTTATTTTATCTACTCATATTTCTTTATTTGATCCTCTCTGTAGCATTACGATTCAGTTCTTTCAACATTACTTTCCCTTGTTTTCTTAAATGGCCCTCAATAGGTTACATACAGTATAGGTTTGCACCCACAACTCTTTGTATTGCGAACACACTGATCTATAATAATAATATACTAATAATATATGTCATTTAGCAGACACTTTTATTCAAAAATGGGTGGTCCTGGGAATCAAACCCACTACCCTGCCGTTATAAGCGCATTGCTCTACCAACTTAGCTACAAACGACCACTATTCCCAATCTATTGATCTATTCCCAATGCTGTTAACAGGAGAGAAGAGACAACATTGCCAAGTTGGAGGTGATCAACAATGGGAAGTCTATCACAGAGGCCCAGGTGGACATTGATGTTTCCTGGCAGGCCTTAGAGTACTACGCTGGCATTGCTGGCACACTGGCAGGTGGGAACACACTCTGTAGAAGACATGTATAAACAAAATTATTTTGACCCAGTACCATCATATGCTATTGTGGTTCTCAAACACATACACATTGTATTATTATAGGCCCAATTATTATCTTCTCTTTAAATGACGTGTGCTTCACTTTTCTTTGTCTTTTATGCTTATGGGCTTAGTGACAGGTTTTTAGCTTATACCGAATTATGCATAACACATAGACAATTTTGTTGCACCCTAATAATGAATCACACTACAATATATTTGCAATAGCACTCATAGCAATGTTACAGTTTACCATTCATTTACCTCAGGCCAGCACATCCAACTGCCCAGAGGATCCTTTGCTTACACCAGACGGGAGGCCCTGGGGGTATGTGTGGGCATCGGGGCCTGGAACTACCCCTTCCAGATCGCCTGTTGGAAGTCTGCTCCTGCCCTGGCCTGTGGTACGTTTACCATGACCTCCAGCATTCATGCATTACCATCACACTGTGGAATGTTTTTTTGCTTCACATTTCAGTTATGATTAGATAACTTAAAACGAATCAATACATATTTCATTATTTAGTATAATGAATGTATCCGTTATTCTTCTTCATGGAAATTTGAATTAACCATGCATACGAAGAGGAATAGTAGATTTTGGACAGGTGTCTCTGAATGTCTTTTAGAAACAGATTGTACTGCGAGTGAAACCAAGTATTAATTTTTTTCCTGCTGTGTCTCTCTTGCTCCCCAGGTAACGCCATGGTGTTCAAACCTTCTCCTTTCACCCCTGTGACCGCCGTGATTCTGGCTGAGATCTACAAAGAGGCTGGGGTACCTGATGGGCTCTTCAACGTGGTGCAGGGTGGGGCGGAGACTGGCACCCTGCTCTGTAATCACCCCGGCGTGGCTAAGGTGTCCTTCACTGGCAGTGTCCCCACTGGGAAGAAGGTACAGACTGAAACAAAATACTTTATTGGGTGTTTACCAAGGTCGTAGTCATTAGGCACCAAACATAAGAACATGGACTGAAACAGGGAGGGACTACCTGAACTAGTCCAATAAGAAATGCTCGTTTTAGTTTGCCGTTGCAAAAGATTTTGCCACTGTGTGCTCTAATGAATACAACCCTAAATTCTTGTCATGGCAAGTCTTCAATCACCTCCATGTTCATAATCTCACAGTCTCACTGCAACTCACTGCCAGTAATTGACCTCTCTGGGTCTATTGATAACGAGAGTAACTTGAGAAACCTGAATTGCTTCTCTGTTCATCAATGATAAGACTGCTGAACAATGAATCAAATGGCTACCCGGACTATTTGCATTGCTGCTACTCACTGTTTATTATCTATGCAGTCACTTTACCCCTACCTACATGTACATATTACCTCAACTAACCTGTACCCCTGCACATTGACTCGGTACGGATACCTCCTGTATATAGCCTCGTTATTGTTATTTAATTGTGTTACTTTTTCAAACTTTTGTTTATTTTGTAAATATTTATTTTCTTAAAACTGCATTGTTGGTTAAGGGCTTGTAAGTAAGCAATTCAAGGTAAGGTCTACTAACTGTAAGTCGCTCTGGATAAGAGCGTCTGCTAAATGACTAAAATGTAAATGTAAAATGTCTACACCTGTTGTATTCGGTGCATGTGATAAAGAAAATTGTATTTGATTTGTGACTCATATTCGTTGACAATCACCACGATCAATGTTATGGACAACACTGCCATCTAGAGGTAGTTATTTATTGTACTATATATAATATTGGTCAGTAGGAGGCAGTGTAGTGCTGCAATTGTCTAAAACATCTGTCAGACAAGACTTGTTCATGAAACACTCATTTGGGAAGTACTATTCCCATGGCCATACCTTTTAACACTATTATTGATCAGTATTCAGTCATCTCAGCTCTCATTGGCTAATTGGACCTTTCTTCCTATCATGTTCTCTCTTCCTTTCAGATCATGGAGATGTCTGCGAAGACGGTGAAGCAGGTGACTCTGGAGCTGGGAGGGAAATCACCCCTCATCATCTTTAAGGACTGTGAGCTGGAGAACGCAGTGAGGGGGGCGCTCATGGCTAACTTCCTGACTCAGGGAGAGGTGAGCTCAATGCTAACCGACTTCTTACTTTCAATGCTGACTGACTTCTTACTTAATGGCCTAATACCATTGCCTGTATTGATGTACAGTGTTTTCCAGTAGCGCCAGCAGTCGGCTAAACAGCCGATTACAGACTCATTTTCAGCCGGCTACTGTTTCCACTTAAATTAACTACGCTACTTTTCAATTCGCTAGTCAGAAAAAAAAGTAAGCCAAGCCCTCTCCCCCCGCTAGAATGAATGATGTGCATCTTCTAGCGATCTATTGATAGGACAGGCCACTGCTGGTTTGACAGTCTGCTGTCTGTCCCGCCTCCTGTGGGCACTGTGATTTGTGTGCGCTGTGGTTGGTTGCAGAATTTCTTTACACGGAGGTGGAGATTATGCTTCTTTATTGTCTCTGAGTGAATTTCAGTGCTCTACGGTGCGACCATTTTACATGCATATGCGGCTAAAAATAGATGTGCGAATTGAAAACTGTGATATATAGCAACAACAAAAAAATCTGCTATTTTCAAAGTCTTTCTGCCGTTTTGTTTAATAGCTGGTAGATAATTACACAAGGAACCATAGAAATAAGAATGATTTATTATGTCTATGCAAATAACTACCTTGTGCCAGTGCCAATTTGTTATTTTTTATCTATTTTTTACTTAACACTTATTTTTCTTAAAACTGCATTGTTGGTTAAGGGCTTGTACAGTGGGGGAAAAAAGTATTTAGTCAGCCACCAATTGTGCAAGTTCTCCCACTTAAAAAGATGAGAGAGGCCTGTAATTTTCATCATAGGTACACGTCAACTATGACAGACAAAATGAGAAAAAAAAATCTCCAGAAAATCACATTGTAGGATTTTTTATGAATTTATTTGCAAATTATGGTGGAAAATAAGTATTTGGTCAATAACAAAAGTTTCTCAATACTTTGTTATATACCCTTTGTTGGCAATGACACAGGTCAAACGTTTTCTGTAAGTCTTCACAAGGTTTTCACACACTGTTGCTGGTATTTTGGCCCATTCCTCCATGCATATCTCCTCTAGAGCAGTGATGTTTTGGGGCTGTCGCTGGGCAACACGGACTTTCAACTCCCTCCAAAGATTTACTATGGGGTTGAGATCTGGAGACTGGCTAGGCCACTTCAGGACCTTGAAATGCTTCTTACGAAGCCACTCCTTTGTTGCCCGGGCGGTGTGTTTGGGATCATTGTCATGCTGAAAGACCCAGCCACGTTTCATCTTCAATGCCCTTGCTGATGGAAGGAGGTTTCTACTCAAAATCTCACGATACATGGCCCCATTCATTCTTTCCTTTACACGGATCAGTCGTCCTGGTCCCTTTGCAGAAAAACAGCCCCAAAGCATGATGTTTCCTCCCCCATGCTTCACAGTAGGTATGGTGTTCTTTGGATGCAACTCAGCATTCTTTGTCCTCCAAACACGACGAGTTGAGCTTTTACCAAAAAGTTATATTTTGGTTTCATCTGACCATATGACATTCTCCCAATCCTCTTCTGGATCATCCAAATGCACTCTAGCAAACTTCAGACGGGCCTGGACATGTACTGGCTTAAGCAGGGGGACACGTCTGGCACTGCAGGATTTGAGTCCCTGGCGGCGTAGTGTGTTACTGATGGTAGGCTTTGTTACTTTGGTCCCAGCTCTCTGCAGGTCATTCACTAGGTCCCCCCGTGTGGTTCTGGGATCTTTGCTCACCGTTCTTGTAATCATTTTGACCCCACGGGGTGAGATCTTGCGTGGAGCCCCAGATCGAGGGAGATTATCAGTGGTCTTGTATGTCTTCCATTTCCTAATAATTGCTCCCACAGTTGATTTCTTCAAACCAAGCTGCTTACCTATTGCAGATTCAGTCTTCCCAGCCTGGTGCAGGTCTACAATTTTGTTTCTGGTGTCCTTTGACAGCGCTTTGGTCTTGGCCATAGTGTAGTTTGGAGTGTGACTGTTTGAGGTTGTGGACAGGTGTCTTTTATACTGATAACAAGTTCAAACAGGTGCCATTAATACAGGTAACGAGTGGAGGACAGAGGAGCCTCTTAAAGAAGAAGTTACAGGTCTGTGAGAGCCAGAAATCTTGCTTGTTTGTAGGTGACCAAATACTTATTTTCCACCATAATTTGCAAATAAATTCATTAAAAATCCTACAATGTGATTTTCTGGATTTTTTTCCTCAATTTGTCTGTCATAGTTGACGTGTACCTATGATGAAGATTACAGGCCTCTCTCATCTTTTTAAGTGGGAGAACTTGCACAATTGGTGGCTGACTAAATACTTTTTTCCCCACTGTAAGTAAGCATTGTATTCGGCGCATGTGGTAAATAACATTTGATTTGATTTGAGACCGCAGCATCAGTGTTGTGGGCATTGTGAGTGAAGTGCAGAAAGATACATTTGTAGAAGCGCACAGGCATAGAAGTTGGTTGAATTTACCCAAAAGTCTACTAAAGTTTGACTTTGTCCTTGTGTTTCTTGGATATTTACATTATAATAATATGCCATTTAGCAGACGCTTTTATCCAAAGCGACTTACAGTCGTGCGTGCATACATTTTTTTGTGTATGGGTGGTCCCGGGGTTCGAACCCACTACCTTGGCGTTACAAGCGCCGTGCTCTACCAGCTGAGCTACAGAGGACCACATTGTTGTTCAATGTTAGTTTGAGTTTTCTCAACTGCTACTAGCAAAGGGATGTCAGGGAATCTAATTTCTCACCCAAGTGACCCAAATATTTGCGAGTACATTGTACTTTATTGAGCATGGAAAACGTTTATTCATTAACTTTTAGGCGTTTATCCTAAAAACGCTCATCCTCAAATAATTTTGCTGTGTATTTCGGCTGGAATAGAGGCATTAGAATGTACAAGAGGCAACCAAAATATTGGTCGATCTGCAAAAAAACTTTGGGACTTGTGGAAAACACTACATATAGTACAGGGATAGGCAACTTTAATGGGTGCGGGGGCCATTAAAAATCAGAACTCATCATGAAGGACCGCAGTGGCTCGCGGGTCTGCTAGCCCACATCCATACCCACATATGCAGTGGAGAGACAAATTTGAAGTTTCATAGTTATTTCTTGCAATTCTACAAATTTAGCTATGGGGTGGAGAGAATAATTAGCAGTTTTACAGCTAATTTCCTGCAATTCTACACATTTTGTCATAGGGGTGGAGAGAAATGTTTGCAGTTTTCTAATATGATATCTGAGTGAGAGTGACTAACAAAATCAATGGGAGCCACCCGGTCGGTAATTCGACCATGATTACTACAAGTTTAGATAATCTAGCCAGCTAATTTACCAATCTTTCCATAATTTTAGCTGACATGGGCTATTTGACTGTCAATAGTTAGGTTTCCTTCCAATTGGCGAAAGATCTTTATGCAGATTTTAGAATATTCGCATGAAGAAAATATCCACATTTTCCCACCAGTGGTGTGTTTCCACCAAATGGACTTGTTGTGGATAAAAGTCAGTGGGTGATGACGTAGTGCACACAAATTGTACTTATTCGCTTTAGTTTTCATGTACCGAATAAAGTTCAATGTGTTTCAATCGCATTTTCAACTCTACCGATTAGTTTTGTCACAAACTGTTGCGTTGAATAGCAAATGTGCCTCCTCTGGTCTTGGTACGTGCACAGATACAGTGCGGGTAGACTAGTCTACATGATGAGATTATTATGGATAAGAGCCAGAATATTTTTATTTGTCAAACAGCAGTCAAGCATCAATCATCATATCACCAGAATAATACTCTCAATATTTATTGGAAAGGAGCATCAAGGTCACCGTGCACTTTCACCACCCTGTGAAGTTCATAATTTATTTCATCTGTAGCCTAATAAACTGCATGGTTTCTCGAGTCATAATGGGAGGACCACACACCATATCATTGCGTGACTCCAAGTTTACTTCGATATAATGCTTATTATATCAATATTTGCACATATAAAGGCGTTTTCACCACCATTTCTCGCATAACTAATTTGAACGACACAAAAAGATAGTACGAACAAATTAATCTGTCAGCATTTATAAAATTGTACTGAAACCACCCATTTCCATGACAGCTGTCATGATTTTATTTTTATACAGTGATTTTACTCGTATAAAAACTGGATGGAAACAGGGTTAGTGACTGACATAACGAGAAACTGCTGATGCACAACCAAATTTCTAAATTGCACCTTGTGTATGCTACTATTCTAACTCTCCACATAAGTTGAGTCCCGACTGTTCCAAAAACATGTTTTATTGATGCCCGCGCGCGGGCTGCTAGTTGCCCATCCCTGATGTAGTATGTACAGTAATACAGTATGACTGTATTACCTTCTCCATGCATGGATATTGTTTCTGACCTTGATTCAAGCATATGTTAAGCTTGGCTTTCTTTACCCTTTAAACTTGTGATAATGTATCTTCTCCCACTCTTGGTTTCTATTGAGTTGAACTCTATTGTCTTACTATCCAGTTAACAGCAGTTGAAATGCAACTTTCTGGACCAACCACCTACCTATGGTCTCCCTGTTTAGGTGTGCTGTAACGGGACGCGGGTGTACGTGCAGAGGGAGATCATGCCTGAGTTCCTGGAGGAGGTGGTTAAGAGGACCAAGGCCATCCAAGTAGGGGACCCTCTCCTGGAGGACACCCGCATGGGAGCCCTGATCACCAGGCAACACCTGGACAAGGTGCTGGGCTTCGTCAGCCAGGCCAAGAAAGAGGTAAGGAGGTATCAGTAAATTAATGTGCAGCCTGGGTCGTGTTCAGTAGGGTACACTGAAGCAAAATGCAAGGCAATGGAACAAGTGTCCAGCTTAGACAACTTAGACAAGTTCCGGTAGTCCCTCGCTGTTTCACAATGTTTTCTTCCTACTGAACACAGCCCTGCTGTTTGAACATCTGCCTCATCCAGGATAGTGGCTACCTTAGGTGTATGTCTATCCCAGCCTTCAGTCTACTGTTTGTCTGAATTTTGTACCTAACCCAAATTTGCACCTAACCCAAATCATGTTGTGATCTGCAATGTTTATTTTTTTGTCCGATTTTTCTACTACTTCAGCTTTTCTGCCTTTGCCTAATACAAATCTCTCTCTCTCTCTCTCTCTCTCTCTCTCTCTCTCTCTCTCTCTCTCTCTCTGTCTCTCTCTCTGTGTGTCTCTCGCTCTCTCTGTGTGTGTGTGTGTCTCTCTCTCTGTGTGTGTGTGTCTCTCGCTCTCTCTGTGTGTGTCTCTCTCTCTCTCTGTGTGTGTGTCTGTCTGTCTCTCTCTCTGTCTGTCTGTCTCTCTCTGTCTGTCTGTCTGTCTGTCTCTCTCTCTCTCTCTCTCTCTCTCTCTCTCTCTCTCTCTCTCTGTCTGTCTGTCTGTCTGTCTGTCTGTCTGTCTGTCTCTCTCTCTATGACTGTCTGTCTGTTCCTTTAGGGAGCAAAGGTACTTTGTGGAGGGGATGCATTTACCCCGATTGACCCCAAACTGAAAGGAGGTTACTACATGTCTCCCTGTGTCCTGGGTGAGTCTGGTTTAATCATAATTACACCAATTGTCATACTCCCTAATAGTGTTGCACGGTATACCGGTACCAAAACGTCATGATACTTATGATACCAACATTTTAGAATACTGTAGTACCGTTTCATATGATACTACCGACTTTTTCAGCCCTACAGATCTAAAGAAACTGCTGGCGCCCTTACAAAAAAAGATTGCAGTTTTAAAAGCGCAGTAACTGCAGTCGACTGTGGTATTTTGGACAGAGTGATTGCAGAATAACTGCAGTGTACTGCAGTTGAACTGCAGTTATACTGCACTCTTAACTGCAGTTACACTGCACAATTACCGCAGTAAAAAAAAAACTTATTTTGGTCGCAGTATTTTCAGCATACTGACTGCAATCTTTTTTCGGAAGGGCACCTGTTATAAAATGTCAGTTTTGTTTATAATTTCAGTTGAATCTAAGCAACAGCCACTAGTCTCTTGTATGCGCAGGTCCAATAATATCCACTTCCCTTTCATGCGCATATCACGTGTGGCAGCTGAAATCAGCCAGCCGCATCCAGTGTTGCCAACTTAGCGACTTTGTCGCTATATTTAGCGAGGATTCAGACCCCTCTAGCGACACATTTTCAAAAACTGCAAAAAAGGCTGAGGCCACCATGTCATTAGCTATCGCTGAACACTGTTCCATGCTGGCATGTGATCACATTGGAGAAGCATGTATAGCTGCTTTCTCAGACTCCACTGCTGCTACCCACTTCAAAATGCACAGGAAAAAGTGCACAGAAATGATTAATGGTGTTCTAGCACCATACTTTCTGAAAAAGTTGGTCGCAGATGTGGGTGACCAGTGTTTCAGCCTCCTCCTCGATGAGTCCACGGATGTAAGTGTTTCTAAGTACCTGGCGGGTTGTGATAAGGTACTTTAGTGACACCAAGCAGACAATTGTATCAACATTTCTGGGGCTTGTTGAGTTGCAGGGAAGAGATTCCAAATCTATAGCCCGTGCTGTTGTGGCTTTCCTCGAGAAGTGTTGTGAGAGATGGAATCTAAAACAAAAATCCAGAAAATCACATTGTATGATTTTTAAGTCATTAATTTTCATTTTATTGCATGACATAAGTATTTGATCACCTACCAACCAGTAAGAATTCCGGCTCTCACAGACCTGTTAGTTTTTCTTTAAGAAACCCTCCTGTTCTCCACTCATTACCTGTATTAACTGCACCTGTTTGAACTCGTTACCTGTATAAAAGACACCTGTCCACACACTCAATCAAACAGACTCCAACCTCTCCACAATGGCCAAGGCCAGAGAGCTGTGAAAAGACATCAGGGATAAAATTGTAGACCTGCACACGGCTGGGATGGGCTACAGGACAATAGGCAATCAGCTTGGTGAGAAGGCAACAACTGTTGGCGCAATTATTCGAAAATTGAAGAAGTTCAAGATTAGGGTTAATCACCCTCGGTCTGGGGCTCCATGCAAGATCTCACCTCGTGGGGCATCAATGATCATGAGGAAGGTGAGGGATCAGCCCAGAACTACACGGCAGGACCTGGTCAATGACCTGAAGAGAGCTGGGACCACAGTCTCAAAGAAAACCATTAGTAACACACTACGCCGTCATGGATTAAAATCCTGCAGCGCACGCAAGGTCCCCCTGCTCAAGCCAGCGCATGTCCAGGCCCGTCTGAAGTTTGCCAATGACCATCTGGATGATCCAGAGGAGGAATGGGAGAAGGTCATGTGGTCTGATGAGACAAAAATTGAGCTTTTTGGTCTAAACTCCACTCGCCGTGTTTGGAGGAAGAAGAAGGATGAGTACAACCCCAAGAACACCATCCCAACCGTGAAGCATGGAGGTGGAAACATCATTCTTTGGGGATGCTTTTCTGCAAAGGGGACAGGACGACTGCACCGTATTGAGGGGAGGATGGATGGGGCCATGTATCGCGAGATCTTGGCCAACAACCTCCTTCCCTCAGTAAGAGCATTGAAGATGGGTCGTGGCTGGGTCTTCCAGCATGACAACGACCCAAAACACACAGCCAGGGCAACTAAGGAGTGGCTCCGTAAGAAGTATCTCAAGGTCCTGGAGTGGCCAAGCCAGTCTCCAGACCTGAACCCAATAGAACATCTTTGGAGTGAGCTGAAAGTCCGTATTGCCCAGCGACAGCCCCGAAACCTGAAGGATCTGGAGAAGGTCTGTATGGAGGAGTGGGCCAAAATCCCTGCTGCAGTGTATGCAAACCTGGTCAAGACCTACAGGAAACGTATGATCTCTGTAATTGCAAACAAAGGTTTCTGTACCAAATATTAAGTTCTGCTTTTCTGATGTATCAAATACTTATGTCATGCAATAAAATGCAAATTAATTACTTAAAAATCATACAATGTGATTTTCTGGATTTTTGTTTTAGATTCCGTCTCTCACAGTTGAAGTGTACCTATGATAAAAATGACAGACCTCTACATGCTTTGTAAGTAGGAAAACCTGCAAAATCGGCAGTGTATCAAATACTTGTTCTCCCCACTGTATATATATTTTTTTAAGTTGCTCCGCCAGAGTGTCTCTTTTGGGTCACATTTGCCGGTCCCAAGCCCGGATAAAGGAGGAGGGTAGGAATTGTGACATTTAAAAAAACAAGAATACATTTAACATTTACATTTAAGTCATTTAGCAGACGCTCTTATCCAGAGCGACTTACAAATTGGTGCATTCAACTTAGGATAGCCAGTGGGACAAGTGGGACAACCACATCTTGATCACAGAATCGACAGAAGAAAGTTCATTTGTAGTTCTAAACATATTTAGGGTGTTTTTTACTCACTTTTTGTCTCTCCCACAACGTTATTCCTCTCCTACAGTGTCCATCACAATTACATGCATATGGCCAATTATGCAAATTAGGCGATGACGTCATTTAGCGACTTCTAGCGACTTTTAGGACAGCCAATAGCTACTTTCCTTACTGAGGAGTTGGCAACACTGCTACCAGCCCTCACTCACCTGCTTTTCTCCGTCCGCTCTTCACACGCGTCTATTCCTCCGTCAGTTAAAAAATATATATAATTTAACCGTGATGGGGATGCAGACCCAGACCCTGATGAGTCTTCTGTTGTTAGATTTGTACATTTGTTACATTGGAGCAGCTCGCAAAGCAGCAATGTTGATACATTGTATGATTTCATCGCCTGTTATAACAGAGAGCACGGACCAGTCTGAGTAGACTTTGCAAGTTCACTGTCATGCAGCCTCTAAGTGTCTGAGAGGGAAAATACCGCTTCACGACAGGCATGCTTGCAGCTTTACAGCAAAGAAAACCTCTCGTCTCAAGCCTAAACGGTAAAAAGAATATGACACATATTACCGGAGATGCCTTTTTTTCTTTCTATCGGGATTCGGGCGCGTTTTATATAATTTCACAAACCATGTCGCGAGCCATTTTAAACTAATCTGGTGGCTAATTATTGGTTTGATAACAAACAACGTTGTTCCATGTCACCTAGCTAGCTAACAATCTGGTAACGTTACAGTAGGTCTAGGCAAATGTGTTGGCACAGGAAGAAAGGAAAGGGTATGCTACTCATGAGATGTGCTTCAAAAGGTAAGATTCATATAGGCCTAATGTAAGCCTAAACTATATCAAAAGTCGATTTATTTCTGCTGCTCCTTAAATTCTGTTTTGTGCCAAACGTTTTAAAAGTTGGGAGTAGTGTGTGTTTGTGGGAGGGAGTAGTGTGTGTTTGTGGGAGAGAGAGTGGTGTGTGTGTGTGTCTTTATGAGAGTGAGGGAGAGAGCATGTGAGGGAAGGAGAGTGTCTGTGTTAACTGAAGAGTAAAGAAGGTTTCATGCAGTGTTTTCCCCATACTGACACAATAACATGCCGATCATTATGCATGTAATCACAGGAGGTTTGTGGCACCGTAATTGGGGAGGATGGGCTCGTGGTAATGGCTGGAGTACAATTTGTGGAATGTTATCAAATACATGGTTTCTAGGTGTTTGATGCCATTCCATTTGCGCCGTTCCAGCCATTATTATGAGCCGTCCTCCCTTCAGCAGCCTCCACTGATCACAGCCAAATCACAGGTAGGCCTTTGCAAATATTAGCAAAGCAGCCATTCTATGCTGTCTGCTATTATACACTGAACAGTGTGAAGATAAATTCAATGTGTTCTATTGAGTAGAAGTGTGAATTTTAGTGACAGGTTTTTGGAGAACGTTTCGAAAACGTGAACAAGCGTCCGTGGCGAACAGGATGCTAGGCCACCACTCGGTATCGTGATACTTGATATCGTATCGCCTGGTATCGTATCGTTTGTAAAATGTTGGTATCGTGACAAGCCTAGTCCCTAATGTGGTACATCCTGTTTTTACCAATCTACCACTGTTCCATAGATTGATGTATTATCAAATATGATCCACTCAATGTATAGTGACCAGAGTATGTGAGCGGAACGAGGTGCGGAGCGTGCTCAATTTGACTGGAGCGCGGAGCGAGTTTCCCAAAGGCTTGAGCATCGGCCTTCTCGCCCGCTCCAGTACCGCTCCAGTAGGGCTCACTTCACGAGCTCAGGGCAGGCCCAGCCCAGCATGCATTTCTAGGCTACTTCTGTGCTGCTATAGCCCCTTGCTTTAGCTACTGTCATGGAGTTCGCTAAATATTTTCATAAAGAAACTGATAAAACACACAGGTGCAAAATCAAGGTGACTTACTAAGATGAGGACCAAGAGCAAGAGAGGGAGTGTGGTGATGTAGTGTCCACAACTAAATAATCATTGTGGAATCTGAAAAGACACGTATCCCGAAAGCATGATGGTACACATGCATACAGAAAGGAACGAGGTGGGTAGCTAGCTAAGTGTGTCATTGTAGCAAAGTATTTATAAACATTTATAAAGTATTTATAAAACTGACTATCCTACCGATCCTTGACTTCGGCGATGTCATTTACAAAATAGCCTCCAACACTCTACTCAGCAAATTGGATGTAGTCTATCACAGTGCCATCCGTTTTGTCTCCAAAGCCCCATACACTACCCACCACTGTGACCTGTACGCTCTTGTTGGCTGGTCCTCACTACATGTTCGTCGTCAAACCCACTGGCTCCAGGCCATCTATAAATCACTGCTAGGCAAATCCCCGCCTTATCTTAGCTCATTGGTCACCATAGCAGCACCCACCCGTAGTCTGTGCTCCAGTAGGTATATCTCACTGGTCATTCCCAAAGCCAACACCTCCTTTGGCCGCCATTCCTTCCAGTTCTCTGCTGCCAATGACTGGAACGAATTGCAAAAATCTCTGAAGCTGGAGACTCTTATCTCCCTCAATAACTTTAAGCATCAGTTGTCAGAGCACCTTACCGATCACTGCACCTGTACACAGCCCATCTGAAATTAGCCCACCCAACTACCTCATCCCTATATTGTTATTTATTTTGCTCTTTTGCACCCCAGTATCTCTATTTGCACATAATCTCTTGCACATCTAGCATTCCAGTGTTAATACTATTGTAATTATTCTGCACTATAGCCTATTTATTGCCTTACCTCCATAACTTGCTACATTTGCACACACTGTATATATATTTTCTGTTGTATTTCTGACTTTATGTTTTTTACCCCATATGTAACTCTGTGTTGTTTTTATTGCACTACTTTGCTTTATCTTGGCCAGGTCGCAGTTGTAAATGAGAACCTGTTCTCAACTGGCTTACCTGGTTAAATAAAGGTGAAATAAAAAAATAAAAATAGTATCTCTTAAAAGTTTAGTTCATTTTCGTTCTATTGTCTATACAATAGGCTATCATTGATTTTGGCCCAATAGGCCTCACATATTACCTCTTTCAAGGACCTTTCCATTTTGATAGGGTTATTTTGCCTAAAAAACTTTAGGCCTACCTATTGATTTTTTTAAAAAACAACTCCGCATCCCTGCCCAGCCTGGCAAGAGTGACGTGAAGGGTGTTTAGCATCGCCAGTGGGTATTCTCCAATGCTGGCCTGCTCTCCAGGCACCATCGCATGAGCCTGAAGCCACATATTCTGCCAAACTCGTGTTTCTAAAAGTGAATTTGAAGGCACTGAGCCTAATAAGGCATTTTTCATGTCATTTTGATTAAATTGTAAGTAAGTCACGGCCTATATGCGCAATTTAGACTATAATGATTTAATACAATGAAATGTTGTTAAAATGCTGAGCGCATAATGTTCCTGCCAGCCTAGTGTGTCACACTTGCAAATGCTTCACAATTTATTTATTTGTAGGTTGTAGCCTTGAAATAATAGACTAATAATATACAGTGAGGGAAAAAAGTATTTGATCCCCTGCTGATTTTGTACGTTTGCCCACTGACAAAGAAATGATCAGTCTATAATTTTAATGGTAGGTTTATTTGAACAGTGAGAGACAGAATAACAACAAAAAAATCCAGAAAAACGCATGTCAAAAATGTTATAAATTGATTTGCATTTTAATGAGGGAAATAAGTATTTGACCCCTCTGCAAAACATGACTTAGTACTTGGTGGCAAAACCCTTGTTGGCAATCACAGAGGTCAGACGTTTCTTGTAGTTGGCCACCAGGTTTGCACACATCTCAGGAGGGATTTTGTTCCACTACTCTTTGCAGATCTTCTCCAAGTCATTAAGGTTTCGAGGCTGACGTTTGGCAACTCGAACCTTCAGCTCCCTCCACAGATTTTCTATGGGATTAAGGTCTGGAGACTGGCTAGGCCACTCCAGGACCTTAATGTGCTTCTTCTTGAGCCACTCCTTTGTTGCCTTGGCCGTGTGTTTTGGGTCATTGTCATGCTGGAATACCCATCCACTACCCATTTTCAATGCCCTGGCTGAGGGAAGGAGGTTCTCACCCTAGATTTGACGGTACATGGCCCCGTCCATCGTCCCTTTGATGCAGTGAGGTTGTCCCGTCCCCTTAGCAGAAAAACACCCCCAAAGCATAATGTTTCAACCTCCATGTTTGACGGTGGGGATGGTGTTCTTGGGGTCATAGGCAGCATTCCTCCTCCTCCAAACAAGGCGAGTTGAGTTGATGCCAAAGAGCTCGATTTTGGTCTCATCTGACCACAACACTTTCACCCAGTTCTCCTCTGAATCATTCAGATGTTCATTGGCAAACTTCAGACGGGTCTGTATATGTGCTTTCTTGAGCAGGGGGACCTTGCAGGCGTTGCAGGATTTCAGTCCTTCACGGCGTAGTGTGTTACCAATTGTTTTCTTGGTGACTATGGTCCCAGCTGCCTTGAGATCATTAACAAGATCCTCCCGTGTAGTTCTGGGCTGATACCTCACCATTCTCATGATCATTGCAACTCCACAAGGTGAGATCTTGCATGGAGCACCAGGCCGAGGGAGATTGACAGTTATTTTGTGTTTCTTCCATTTACGAATAATCGCACCAACTGTTGTCACCTTCTCACCAAGCTGCTTGGCGATGGTCTTGTAGCCCATTCCAGCCTTGTGTAAGTCTACAATCTTGTCCCTGACATCCTTGGAGAGCTCTTTGGTCTTGGCCATGGTGGAGAGTTTGGAATCTGATTGATTGATTGCTTCTGTGGACAGGTGTCTTTTATACAGGTAACAAACTGAGATTAGGAGCACTCCCTTTAAGAGTGTGCTCCTAATCTCAGCTCGTTACCTGTATAAAAGACACCTGGGAGCCAGAAATCTTTCTGATTGAGAGGGGGTCAAATACTTATTTCCCTCATTAAAATGCAAATCAATTTATAACATTTTTGACATGCGTTTTTCTGGAATTTTTTGTTGTTATTCTGTCTCTCACTGTTCAAATAAACCTACCATTAAAATTATAGACTGATCATTTCTTTGTCAGTGGGCAAACGTACAAAATCAGCAGGGGATCAAATACTTTTTTCCCTCACTGTAGCTTAAATAATGAATTTTCTTAGGCTACCCGTCTGGCTCCTGACCTATATAGAGTGTTTATATGCTCTTTAATATGACATGTAGCCTATTTGAAAAGATGAGCGCTTCTTATAGTCATGTTTATTAAAATACTTTTCATTCAAATCATATGGTTTGGTTTCAATACTTCAAAACCAAATGGTAGGTCCAGGCAGTCACAGAAATAGATGGGTGTTGGTTAAAGGGGGATTTTAATGAACGGAGCGAATTTGGAGCGGCATTTTTTTTTCTTGTGTGCGAGGAGCGGTTTTTAGCGGAGCGGTTGGAAAGGACGTGGTGCGCCGTGAGCGATGCGCGGGATTTTCGACCGCTCCACTCCGCTCACATACTCTGGTAGTGACTGTCCAGTCTATATTTGGAGCTATGACTGTAACTCCACATTTTGTATGTAACTTTATATTTAACTCCACATTGACTGTAACTCCACATCCATGTATTCCAACATAGACAACTGCAGAGATGACATGACGTGTGTGAAGGAGGAGATCTTTGGGCCTGTAATGTCAGTGATGCCCTTTGACACAGAAGAGGAAGTGCTGAAGAGGGCCAACAACACTACCTTCGGCCTGGCCTCTGGAGTCTTCACCAGGTACCAGACCCATACACATTTAACCTTCTCCAATAATCTTTCCTCTATGCCTTGCATCCTCTCCTTTTTCCTTCAATTAGGTTGAGGAGGCGAGGAAATAAGATGCAAGGAATAGCGGAAATTGAGATGGAGACCTAGAACCACTAACTAGTCTAGTACACTGAGTCTCTCTTCCTGTTCTTGGCTCCCTGTAGGGATATATCCCGGGCCCACCGGGTGGCTGAGAACCTGCAGGCTGGATCCTGCTTCATCAACAACTACAATATCAGCCCTGTGGAGGTGCCCTTCGGAGGGTACAAGCAGTCTGGTGGGATGGCATGATGATAATAATAATAATAATAATAATAATAATAATAATAATAACCCATTCAATGTAATTAAGGTTTGTCAGGACCCTACTTAGGAACCAATAGGAAAATAGATGGCTGAAATGGACACAAACAGTATTTTCACAAATATTATCAGTTCAAATATGGCAGCAGATCTGATGTTGTAACAGTGCCATAATGGTAATACAAAATGAAGGAATAACAACAGAAATAGAAAGCAAGAGGGCAGACATGCAAGACGGACAGGGATAACAAGACATGACATATTCCTCATTAGAGGGATGTGTCCTATATGGTTCTCATTGATCTCTTCTCTTTCTCTGCAGGTTTTGGCAGGGAGAATGGCCAGGTGACCATCGAGTACTACTCCCAGCTGAAGACTGTGGTTGTGGAGATGGGAGACGTGGACAATTACTTTAATTGTTAAATTACCAATTAAGTGCCAAGGAGAACCTAGACACTACTGTCCTTGAGACGTTTGGTGTATTTGTGCATCTGAGGAAAGTATAATTTTTATTGATAGTTTATTACAGCAAGTAACTAACATGGCTGGTTTGTCTGTACAATGTGCAAGTATGAGGATGTCACCAAGTGCAAATAAGCCAGCTGTGAGCCTAGCCAATAAGTCAATATGAAGAACCGTTCAAACGTTTCCCATGGTCCATCACTTTCTATCACATTTATCTCTCACTTTTTGAATAAATGTTTGTAATACTCCCAGTACTACTACTCCTCATTTTTTGTATTCCATTTCAGTTGTTTGATATTTAAAGATTATATAAAATGTATTAAAAACTCACAACTAATTATAATTCACATATAAGCAATGGTACTTAACTGTCCTGAGTGGGACCAATTTAAATCCACTACCCCATTCAGAAGTGTAGCACATGGGGATGTGTGTAACTTATTCCTCAGCCTGTGTCCCCACTTGCGCCATAGATTAGTTAGCTTTTCATGTGGCAGGACTGGTAAGACTCTTCGGGAGGTCAGTCACGTGTGCTAGCAAGGCAGAGGTCCTGGGTTCAAATTTATATTACACATCTTAGTAGCTGTGGTGAGGTTGTCTAACAACCTTACAATACAACCTCACAACAACCTCACCACAGATTCTAAGATGTGTAATGTGAGTGAAGTTGAAAACTGGATGGAATAATGATTACCCTGCTCGTACACTTCTGAAGTAAAGAGGTAGGTAGTGACCTTGATACAGCTAAGACAATACCTACCGACACCAACCCAGTAAAATAGACTCCATAGATATTAGCCAGACAAACATTTCATTAAATATAATTTATTATATACAAGATATACTGTACATACCCTGGTTTCAGATGTTATATGTACTTGTTATGTTGACATTTTAGTCATTTAGCAGATGCTCTTATCCAGAGCGACTTACAGTTAGTGAGTGCATACATTATTTTATTTTTATATACTGGCCCCCCGTGGGAATCGAACCCATAACCCTGGCGTTGCAAACACCATGCTCTACCAACTGAGCTACATCCCTGAGTAGAGAAGAGCCTTTCACATTTTCTCTTCAGTGCAGCTCATTGGAATCCCCATATGCCAGGGCCAGGCCATGATGAACATCAAAAACCCAGGGTCTCACAGAGCTGGAGAGAGGTGCTGGTTGGGTTTCTTTTACAGGAAGGGATAACGTATCCTCTTCTGAAAACAGACATAGAACAAATTAATGCCAAATTGAAGAGTCAAAAATCATAGAATTGTCCAGTTTTGGCCTGCTGCCCATCTACTTACCTGAAGTGTAACGTCTCCAATAATGGCCACAGCATCCTCGCACCCGGTTCAAGACTGCTGACACTGAGGTGAGAACGAACTGGATAGAAGATGGACTAGGATGCATTCCTGTAAATGGATCGGGAGTCAGTGGGTTTTATTCGCGGACAATTAGTCCTAACTAGACCTAAACGTGTATGGAAAGTTGCCACTTGTTCGAATAGTAGGTTACTGCAAGCCAGCATCGATATGCGGGCTGATCTAAACTTTATTCCTTTGGGGAAAATGGTATTGCCGGTAGGCTACACTCAATCAGCCGGTAAACCTATACAACATAGTCTACATCCCGAATAGTAGGCTATAGCCTAGAAACTATAACAGATTAAGAGAATGCTGAGAGTGACAGTTTACCTGAGCAGTAGTGACAGTGTTTTACTTGAAGTGCAAATAGCCAATTTGTGTCCTGGATCAGGAGTGGTGTTTAATAACTAATTATGGATGCGTGGATTTGAAACGATCAAGTGCGAAAAAAGTGTGACAAACTTGTTCGCTTGTTTGTCGCTCCTCAGGTCAGTGCGAAAAAAAGTGTGACAAACTTGTTCGCTTGTTTGTCGCTCCTCAGGTCAGTGCGAAAAAAAGTGTGACAAACTTGCTCGCTTGTTTGTCGCTCCTCAGGTCGTGTCTACACTTGACACTTATACGACTTCTGCTATCTGAATACGAATATCGCATTGAAAAGACGGGTGTAGACGCATAAAAGTCGCATTGGGGTCTGATTGTGTTCAGATTTGGCTGACCACCTCCACATTTTGTGCGGATTTCTACTGTCTTCAATGATGTCATCGACTCGTCATCTTTCACTTGAGTCCGTAATGAGTCAGCCAGCAAACTAGCAAGCAAAACTAAAGGGGTTGCAAAATGTTTACCATAACTCTAGCCAAACAAAAAATATTTTTTCTAAATATTAGCTAGCTGGCTAGCATTTATGAGGCCAGAAAACATGTTCCTCACATGCTAGGAAGGTATTTCCTCCAATCCTATAATGAAAAGGTGTCTCTCTCTCTCCCAAAAATCATGTTTTCTGGAGACTTGTGGGTGGAGTGCTGATAGCTGCCCAAAGGTTGAACGTACGTTGAACTTCACCGGTGTCTTCCCCTCATAGAGTGCACTTGTTGTGAGACTTGTGTTAGAATAAACTTATTGGAGAGAGAGGTAGGTGTCTCAATGACTGATGAAAATAGTTGCAATAGTTAGAAAGTATGATTGTCTAGGATTTATGGCCCATCATGACAATGGACTTGTATATAATGTAAAACATTACAATAACTTTGGTTGATAGACAAGTCTGAGAGTGCTTGGCGGCCCATTTCAAAAATGCTGTTGAGGCCGGGGCCCCACTAACCCCAAATTGGACATTGAAGACAAATATGATTGTGGGGGATGTAGAGGCAGTTTATAAAGGACATGGGGGAGGTAAAGGTAGAGGAGTGAAGTTATATGCTTTATTTGTTATTTTCTTTCAGAATGGATTTCTTGACAAATATATTTTCTAAATGAATTAAGAGAGAACACTACCAAAAGGAGTCGTGGGGCATAGGTGGAGGTGAAGGTGGTTGAGGCTGAGGTGGAGGAGTTCATCGAAAGCTACATCAGTGACCATAATGGGTCATATGTCTGCAAAAGGTGGAATACACAACCCTTTCATTTTTACTATGAACGACACGAGGCAAGAGGAAAGTCGACAGGGCAGCCACAGGACACCAGGACAAACAGCTGTAAGGCCTATGTGTCCTAAACATGAACGACGGGCCCACCTCAAAAGTGTGTATCATCAGAAAGATGCAGGAGCACAAGGGCCATGAGAATTCACACTCAGAGAATGTGACAAACCGCATCCACCCAGACCTGGTCGCATATATTGAGATCTTGGCTCTTCAAGGCAAGGCATGCCACGAAATTGCCAACAGTATCATGAATTGGGCGAAGAGCAGGGGGTACACTGACATGGCGGACAGGAGATTCATCCCATCTCTCAGGGACATCCTGTACCTAAAGAATCGAATGAAGACCCTGGACAGGCATCATGAAAACAACTCCTTGAGTGTTGACTTGTTTGTGAAAACAAACCTTAAGTGTGAGACATTGTACTATCAGCCTCTCTGCAGAGCAACAGGTCAACCACTGATACTCGTACTTCAAAATGCAGAGCAGAGGCAGAACATGTTGCAGTGTGGGAAGAATCTACTTTTCATGGACGCGTTATATTCTGGTGAGTATGGCAATAACTTGATATATCAATAAAGATATATCAATAATATTACAATGATATATTTCAGACCTCACAGCTTATGGTTATGCAGTTTAGGCACTTGTTGTCAGGGATGAAAGTGGGCATGGCTCCCTGGTGGCAACGTTGATCATCAGCGAAGAGACCCAGCAAAACGTGGCCTTCTGCCTGAGAAAGATCCGGACAGCTGCTCACGACTTTGAGAAAAGGTATTTGTACTGCTTCTCCTTGACAACTGTGTTTCAAGTGAATAACTATGACTTTGCCATAACCAAGTTGTTTTCTATAGAGTTTCCATGACTCTAAATGTAACATGGTATACCTCTTCTGTCTTGTTGTTCCATTTAGGGCCTTCATGATTGACAAGGATATGAAGGAGGTGGAGGCCATAAAGGAAGTATTTCCGAATGCTCATGTTCTTCTGTGCTGTTACAACGTTCTGCAGGTAAAATAAGATTATGATTAAATGTGTTTGACCTAATAAATGTGTATGGCATTTACAGTTGAAGTCGGAAGTTGACATACACTTAGGTTGGAGTCATTAAAACTCGTTTTTTAACCACTCCACAAATTTCTTGTTAACAAACTAGTCTGGTTCATCCTTGGGAGCAATTTCCAAACGCCTAAAGGTACCACATTCATCTGTACGCAAGTATAAACACCATGGGACCACGCAGCCGTCATACCGCTCAGGAAGGAGACGCGTTCTGTCTCCTAGAGATTAACGTAATTTGGTGTGAAAAGTGCAAATCAATCCCAGAACAACAGCAAAGGACCTTGTGAAGATGCTGGAGGAAACAGGTACAAAAGTATCAATATCCACAGTAAAACGAGTCCTATATCGACATAACCTGAAAGGCTGCTCAGCAAGGAAGAACCCACTGCTCCAAAACTGCCATAAAAAAGCCAGACTACAGTTTTCAAATGCACATGGGGACAAAGATCGTACTTTTTGGAGAAATGTCCTCTGGTCTGATGAAACATAAATAGAACTGTTTGGCCATAATGACCATCGTTATGTTTGGAGGAAAAAGGGGAAGGCTTGAAAGCCGAAGAACACCATCCCAACCGTGAAGCACGGGGGTGGCAGCATCATGCTGTGGGGGTGTTTTGCTGCAGGAGGGACTGGTGCACTTCACAAAATAGATGGCATCATGAGGAAGGAATATTATGTGGATATATTGAAGCAACATCTCAAGACATCAGTCAGGAAGTTAAATCTTGGTCGCAAATGGGTCTTCCAAATGGACAATGACCCCAAGCATACTTCCAAAGTTGTGGCAAAATGGCTTAAGGACAACAAAGTCAAGGTATTGGAGTGGCCATCAGAAAGCCCTGACCTCAATCCTATAGAAAATGTGTGGGCAGAACTGAAAAAGTGTGTGCGAGCAAGGAGGCCTACAAGCCTGACTCAGTTACACCAGCTCTGTCAGGAGGAATGGGCCAAAATTCACCCAACTTATTGTGGGAAGCTTGTGGAAGGCTACCCGAAATGTTTGACCCAAGTTAAACAATTTAAAGGCAATGCTACCAAATACTAATTGAGTGTATGTAAACTTCTGACCCACTGGGAATGTGATGAAATAAATAAAAGCTGAAATAAATAATTCTCTCTACTATTATTCTGACATTTCACATTCTTAAAATAAAGTGGTGATCCTAACTGACCTAAGACAGGGAATTTTTACTAGGA